CAAGAATAATTGCTTAGTGTAGGTGTGTCTCATGCAGCAAGAGGAATAAATCCCAGCAGGACTGCCTGGAGGACAGAGTGCCCCACAGGCCCACGTGTTAAAGGCCAGTCCCCAGACGGTGCTTCTGCAAGGTGGTGGAACTTAGGAGGTCAGGCCTAGTGGGAGGATTCATTCAAGTCATCCTGTTTCTTCCCTTTTCTCTCTTGCATCCCAGACATGAGTTGTGAAGTTGGCTCTACCATGGTCTCCTTCATGATATTTTGTCTCACCACAGGCCCCAAAGCAGCCCTGATTGGAAACCTTTAAAACTGTGAGACAAAATAAACCCTTCCTCAGGTATTGTGTTACAGCAATGGAAAGCTAATCTCACATTCCATATCAGCCTCCCTGTGCCCCAGCAATTGCTTTCCCAGCCACACAGTCAGAAGGCTTGAAAGTCAGCATCCCCAGGGATATGTGTGTTCATTCCCAGTCTGTCCATCAACAGAAGAAAGATGGACCCCGTGTGACACACTCGTCAACAGCACATCACTCAGCAGTACAGAGCAGAGGGGACAGGACCATGGCGCACAGGGACAGCATTGAGTAAACACTGAGTTCAGAGCAGCCTCACCGCTGCATTCTACTTGAGGATGTTTCCAAAGTAGAAAAGACTGTGAGCTGGCAACAGAAATCAGAGCAGTGGTTATGGGGCAGGGGTAGCATAGGGACTTCAGGAGAGTGGTTGCAGGGGTGTATCCCTGTGTAAAAGTTCAAGTAAGAGCTTTTAAGTGTTTTCCTGTTTGGGTTTATTCTTTGTTTTCAGTGGTGAGAAACACAACAGCGACAGCAAAGCATTCAGAAAAAGGTCCAAGGATAGAGAGTGAAGTGGGTCAGGGGTCACAGAGGGCCTCTTAGCTTCAGTGGGGACCCAGGACTTTGGGCTTATTCTGGTGGGAGGGAGGAGCACTTCTTGGATAAAAAGTCCCTGTAGAAGAGCAGGGCAGTGACCAGGTCAGAGGTGCGCTGCAGCCAGGACGGGAGGACGGAGGGCAGGACAGAGGAGAAATGGCAGGGCCTTGTCCAGGCAGCTGGGATGGAAGGCTGGACAGGTGGGAGGCGGTGGGGTGCTGTTGGACCAGCCCACCAGTGGAAGCTTCTGGGGCTGGGGCAGCAGAAGGCTGCTGCAGATGCAGGGTGCATTATTAAGTGACTGGGGTTGGGGGGATGAGAAGGAGCAGGCTTGAAACAGGAGAAAATCACAACTGTTTGGTAGAAGGTGACTGGGCAACATCCAGGAAGGGATGATCCCGGGACACAGCTTGAGAGGGACAGTGGAGGACAAGAGGGCACAGGAAGGGGCAAGATGGGGTGAGGAGAGAAGAGGGATTCTGTAGGGCCAAGTCCAGCAGGGACAGTGGGAAGAGAGAGGGAGAGGTGGTGAGAGGGAAGAGCCAGAGCAGGAGGTGAAAGAAGTGAAGACGGGGACAGTCACGCAGGCAGCTCTTGGCATCTGGGAAATAACCACAGCAAGGACAGCACACATGTCCGGGGCTCTAGCCAGCCACACTCCACACGTTACTCCATGCTTCTCAAGGCTCCCTGGCCTCATAGGGGTTGCTGTTCCCTCCAATTTGCAGATGAGAAGACAGGCATCGAGCACAGAGGAAGCAGGTGTATGGCCATGATGGGGACATGGATTGGCTCCACACTGTGTTCCCAGGCTCTGAGCTGTCCTCCTACTTCCAGGTGGTGGGGCTGGGCTGTGAGGGGCGGGCAGAGTGTCTGGGTAGCGGACCTTAGGGACTCTTCAGTTTGGGCAGGAGTTGTGGTGTGGGCTGTGCAGTTGTAGCTTCAGGACCTTTTGTCACCTGATGGCTGACTCTCAGGCCTTATGCCTCATCCACAGGGAGAGGACAGATCCCCCCCCCCAGCCAGCCATGTGGATAGCCCCACTGCCTGAGGTTTCCTGGGCAGACACAGTTGTTCCTAAGACTCATATGGCAGTCTCAGGGTCCAAGGTCCCTGGGTGTTGTGCTCATACAGTGGCGGTGGAAGGAATAAGATATAAGGAGTGTGCCTGCGGGCTGCCGACCTGGAGTCCTGCCTCTGGAGCTATGGAGAGGCCATGACTCACCACGGGAACTTCGGAGTGACTCAGGGTCCAAGGCTGCACAAGGCCATCACGGCTATAGAAACTCTGATGCTGCTTGTTACGCAGTTGGCCGACTGTAGTGTAGCGTGCTGCAGGCGCTCCCCCCACCCCTGGAGAGGGCTGTGCCGGGCCAGGAGCCTCAGGTGGGCCAGGCTAGCACCTGTGTTCATCACAGTGTCTGTGCCACAGCAGAGCAGCTGACCTGCACAGCCTGGATAGTAAGTAGGAAGCCCAGGAAAACCCTCCCACCCCTATCAAGAGGGTCAGTCTGCAGCAGACAGACACAACATGGAGGCGAGCATGCTGTGAACTATATTGGAACTATATTGGACCATGTCTAGGGAGCACCAGGGCAGTTATACCTTAAGAGGATCTGTGTGTATCACACGTACTCCCCCAAACCTTAGGAAGTAGATGCTGTCATGAGACCCGTTTGACACATAACGCAACTGACACACAGAGAAGTTAACTAACTCGAGTTCACACAACAAGTAAGTGGCAGAGGTGTACTAGAACCAGGCACACTCGATTTTGGGTTTCCATCTCCTCATCCTGATCCGAGATTGATGACATTAAAGTACACAGGGAATGACCTGTGCTCTAGATTGGGGCATGGGGATACTGGGAGCCAGCATGGCTTGGGGCATGTGTCTGTAGTGGAAAGTGGGTGGTGGCCCAGAGACAAAAGCAGGAGTGTCACCCTGCCAGAAAAGAGCTGTCTGTTCAGCAACAGTGTATAGGTGGGATTCTGGGTGG